ATTGGGCGGTTACGAGGCTTGTCAATATTCTTTATTGCATATTCTACCATATTCCATTATATTTCAAATTTTTTACCTTAATAAAACAATTTTCCATGGAAATGTGACTTTTTTTTACAACAGCGTATGAAATTACAACTCCATTCATAACGGTAAAATCACGTCATCCTAAGCGTGCCATTGTACAGCACGTGACTCATCTGGCACCTCACCCCAATGCCCGACGAAATTTCCGGCATGGGTAAAACTAACGGAAACGCCAGACTGATATGCAAAAACAACATATCTTTTTCGGATAAGGCCAAGTACATTGCTTTACAACCCTACACTCAGAATATTTTTTTTACCTTCTTGTTAATGAAAACACACGGTGGCACAAAGGTGACATGTGTGTGTTTTTATTTATCTCGTGGCCACGAGATACTATGTCGTGACCACAAGTTACTAAGTCGTGGCCACGAGATAGCTAAGTCGTGGCCATGAGTTACTATGTCGTGGCCACGAGTTACTAAGTCGTGGCCACGAGATAGCCCTTTACCACATATATACGCGAAACAACGCACTTTCGAACCCCCCCCTTTTTTGGGCCTCAAATAGTGAAAAAATGTCCTATTTGGGCCCCAAACATAAGTTTTCGTTTGAGAAATGTTGCTAAAAAAATTGAGCACTTTTTCGGCGCCGCCCCCCATCCAAAAGATACATCAGGGGGTTGCCAGAAGGGGGATGTGCCCCCTTCTGTTAGGGGGGTTTGAAGGGGGGCGGAGTCCCCCTCATCGCCAAGAAAATTTTGGACTTGTGAGAGGCTAAAAATGACCCCAGGTCGATCATAATGTAACGTTTAAATAACGCTGAAAAGCCTTTGACTCTATCTCAATCCCTTGAGAAGTTGCAGCCCTTTGAAATAAATTTTGATGGAAAAAATCGAGGCAAAATAGTGAATTTTGGCAATTTTGAGATGTCCCCTCGTTGCCATGGTAACAGGAAATTTGAGACTGATCATGTCGTTACAAAGGCAATCGTCCAGTCAACATTTGTGCCAAGTTTGATTAGTATTGAAGCATTTTTCATAGTTTCATAGCAGTTTGAACTTGTAACAGGAGGCTTTTCAGTGAAAACGGCCATTTTTCACAATATGCTCATGGGGGAAAGGGATAGCTAAGTCGTGGCCACGAGTTATTATGTTGTGGCCACGAGATACTAAGTCGTGGCCACGAGAAAGCTAAGTCGTGGCCACGAGTTACTAAGTCGTGGCCACGAGATACTATGTCGTTGCCACGATATAGCTAAGTCGTGGTCACGAGCTACTATGTCGTGGCCACGAGTTACTAAGGCGTGGCCACGAGATAGCTAAGTCTCGGCCACGAGTTACTATGTCGTGGCCACGAGTTACTGAGTCGTGGGAACGAGATAGCTAAGTCGTGGCCACGAGATAATTAACCAATCAGAATACACCATATATATTATGAACTTTTTAAACTTAACAACTTACTTTTACATGCAACATTTATCTTTGAAAATACTGAAGATATTCACTTCGAACTTGTCTTTACTTAAGATCATATTAGACAGTCACCTTACAATGCCCATCAGACATTAATTTTGACTATAGCTCTTTGTTTGGCAAGTTTGTGATCGAATTGGTCAGTTTATACGTACTACGGCCTGTTAACCTTGTTTATACGATAACATGAGAAGTAATAAGTCCTTGTTTATTTTATTTGTAAGGGACATTGCCCATGGATAAATACCATAAATTGCCTATAAGGTAAAATCCTTGTCTGATGAATAATTTAGAATGGATAAGCTATGGTTAATGTAACCCGGAAAATCATTGCACCTGATCAGTAGATGACATCTAATAATTTCAAGGTCATTGTGTCACAGTGACGCTAAATATAAAATTATTGACCAGCCAATAAGATGTATAAATAACACTTTTACAGGTTGGTGAAGAAAGGGCATCCTTGTACTATAGCACATGTCTAGTTAATTAGGGAAATTCACATAAATGATGTAATCTGATTGGTTATTTATCTCGTGGCCACGACTTAGCTGTCTCGTGACCACGACTAAGTAACTCGTGGCCACGACATAGTATCTCGTGGCCACGAATTAGCTATCTCCTTCCCACGACTAAGTAACTCGTGGCCACAACATGGTATCTCGTGGCCACGACTTAGCTGTCTCGTGGCCACGGCTTAGTAACTCGTGGCCACGACATAGTATCTCGTGGCCACGACTCATCTATCTCGTAGCCACGACTTAGTAACTCTTATATATATATATATATATATATAATATATATATATACATATATATATAATATATATATATTATATATATTATATATATATATATATATATATATATATATATATACAGGCAGTGGATCAGCTGTGAAACACGTATTGAAAAGGGTAAGAGATATATTTCATGGATTTTTTTGTTGTTGAAAATATACTGAAAAACATTACAAAAGGAAAAATGATTTTTCAGACGTACGTATAAGTTATCTGACCCTGAGATTACCCAAAATAGGTAAAAAAAAAATGATATTCATGTGCAGAAAATGAGATAGGTGACCCCAAAGTTTTTTGGCTTAAAATGTTTCTCATATTCTAACATCATGCCACGTTTTAAGAATATATGACGAACATCTTTAATTTTGCCTATATGTCTTTATAATACTGCATGTTTGTTACGTCAATTTCCATTGGATAATAGTGCAGAATTAAATATTAGTTGAACAGATTTTTGACAGGTTATATAACCGGTTTTTTATAGGTTATACCGAACTGCTAAGCTAAGGTTTTGTTGCAACCGTTTATATATTGCCATATAACCATATCATTATAATACAGCAAGCATCTTTTTTATAGAAAAAAATGATTTCTTCATGAATTGACAGCATCCGTGTATATAAAGTTATATAAAAGTTTGTTTCTTGCATATCAGACAGGATTATCTACCGTTTACACCGATACTAGAAAAACCTCTCTTAACATCCTAATGTAAGACAAGTTTCGCGCTCGTTCTCAGGAAGACGTCATTTTACCATTATGAATAAAGTGGTAATATCATATGTTATGAGAATATCAGTTTTCGTGATTTCTGTTCTGAAAATAATTGATATGTAATATGCAAGAAAAAAGAATCAAACACCGGCTGTCAGTACAGCCGGGAATATCTTGCTCTCGGGTAACTGTTTAGCGGCAACTTGGCAGAGCCTCGTTACCGCCGTATTAAACAGTAAACCTCGAGCTAGGCATTCCGGTAAGTACCGGCAGCAAGTGTCAGATTCTTATAATATATTATCATATTGTTTTAAACACTAAAAGAAGCGTTTCTCTGATGTCAACGTAAGAAAAGGGTTGTTCAGAATTGAAAAATGCGTTATGTCAAGTTAAACCCTCACAATAGACATTAATGGTATCGGGACCACCGCACTGCGTTGCAATCGAATCCACCGCCGTCTGCGTTGTAATTATAAAAAGGCAATAACAATTTTTAAAAATGCCAAATTATGGTTGTTTTGGTGCAAATATTATACATATGATGTAATGCTGGTGCAATTAGGGGCCGTTTTGCACACAATTGTACCTGTTTTAACCTAAAATAGGCAAAAGTTGCGCCCCCAAGTCAAACTGTACATAAGTGTTAGCAAAAATGGCAATGAATTGCACCGTGTGTGTGTAATAAGTTGAAAACGTACATATGTGGGCTCCCGTCTCATTAGGTGTTTCCGGTAAAACATTAAAACATAAAATAAAATTTATATAGTCATAAACTTACCGACAGCAGCAAACGACCATATTTTAACCACCGCTTTTGCGGCGCAATCTCCATCGCCACTGCGATGAACCAACCGCTTCTGCAAAAGCTATGGCCAGTGTCATAATAATTGCATTACTATTTATCATTTTTAATTCCTTACTTAGAGTTGATTGCACAGTCCCGTAGCTACTGTCGAACATCGTTTATAATCGCAATCAATCATCTGCCACTTTTCAACGTGTCTATCGGCGATTGACGCCACAAACGTCCTTGAAAATTTCTTTTTTCTGCCTCCCCCTTATTTTTCTTTTTTTTCAATTTCTCAATCACCCTTTCTTAATCATTTATTTCAATCAAAAACTGTGCTGTGGCTACCTTAACCTTTTCCCTTTTTCAATTATCCCTTTCTATGTTTTACACAGTTTCTCGACTGACTATTGACACATTTTCTTATTGATCGAATTTTCATGACGTTCCGACGATAAATGTGGTTTAAATGAATTCATTTTTTTTCTGACAACGTCAAATATGGCTCGTGACGTTTCGACGTATTTTGAAATCTAATTCTATCATATTGTAAAATATACGCTTAATAAAGCGCCTGTAACAATAAGTGATAGTTTAAAAATTCTTCAATTGGCAGCTCCAGTCCGGTTTATTTTTGATCATCCCTCGTATGTCCTGAAGACTTTAAAATCTTTTTCCATTTTTAGACATACATATATATATTTATAAGGAGGATTAAGCATATGCACTATTTACAGGTGACATTCACAGGGACACTGGTCATTTCCATTACACTACAGTCTATCAGGATGATAACCCTTTATCAGAAATTCGTGCTTACTTTATAGGCAGGGCATAATATGTTCTATCCCATGATTCAAATTATCGAATTAATATTTTTCAGTACTGTATCCAATAAATATTTTAAATTATACAATATATATTTTCAAATATAGAACATATATATAGATAATTATAGCACACAAATAGTTTTTGATGAACAAATAGTTTAGTAGGATAGAGTATAGCATATAAAATTAGAGTTATACAATATAAATATTGGATATAGACCAAAAATTAAATTTATTGAATATTGCAACGTTTAACATGCCATAGTGTTGCTTAATTCACTTCCGCATTCTTTTAAAGGTTTAATCTATGTAAACATAGCGTTGTGAAGGTGGTGTTCACGTATTGACTAGTTTTATATACTTAACAAAATGGCGGACAGTGGTAATGAAAATACAGGGCATGATTCAGTCCCTGGGCGCGTAGAGGAAATATTGTGCCAGCCATGTTTAAATAAGGATAAACATATTGTAGCAGATAAATTTTGTTCAACTTGCAATGAATATCAGTGTACAGATTGTTCAAATGTACATTCCATACTTCCCATCTTGAAAAGTCACAAATTAGTGAACACTAAGGAAATAAAAGCGAAACAATGCATGTTTGATATGAAAGGATTAGATCAATGCAATCAGCATCACAAACTTTTGGAATTCTTCTGTGAAGATGATGACCAGCTCTGCTGCAGTACTTGTGCTATTGTTGATCACCGTAAATGTCACAGTGTTGTAGAAGTACAGAAAATCGCCGGAAAATTTACCTCTCAAGGTTCAAGCTTAAAGGGAAAATGGCAAGAAGTAAAAGAGAATGCTGAGTATCTTGTAAAATCGATTATCTCGTCAAAAGAACAAGTTCAACTTGATGCTAAAGAAATACCCGGAACGATAAGGCAAATGCGAGACAGAGTTATTGAAATGTTTGAAGATTTGGAGGCTTCTGTTGTTGAGAAAGTTGAGGATTTTAAGACAGAGACTATTGCAGAATTTGATAAGAAGCAAACAAAGAATGAGGGATACGTAGTTGACGCAACACAAAACCTTGAAATCATTAAAAACGTGTATAAAAATGGAACGTCTGTCCAGCAATTTATTGTAGAAAAGAAAATGCAGGAAGATGCCAAAAATCTCGTCACCAAAGTCAATGCAGAGTGTCAGAACTTAGAAACGGTGATTATTTCTTTCGAATTTGATGAAACATTGAATGTGTCACTACTGCCGCTTTCTGGTTATGTACCAGGTAAACTCACCTTGAAGTTAGAAGCTAAAAAAATGAAGCTTACGCCAGTCATTTCCATAGATTTGAAGCAAAATGAGGATGAAGCTGAGAAACCATTGTGTACAGGAATAGATTTTCTACTCGATGGTAGACTGGTTGCCGTGGATAATAAAAACAAGAAATGCTTAGTGTACAATGAGAAGCTTGAAAAAGTAGGATCATATCAGTTATCGTATCATCCTAAGGATGTTGTTGCTATATCTGAAGATATTGTGGCAGTAACAAGCGGTGATTGTTACAAAATAGATTTTTTGAAAGTAAGTGACGAAAATGAAATAACTTTAGACAAAACTTGTAAAGTGAACACAATGTATTACTCTATATGTCTAAAAGACAAGAATCACTTTATTGCAGGAACTTTGAAAGATCTGAGGCATGTTCGCATTGTATCTTTTTCGGGTGAAGAAAAAGACTTAAATGTTACCTTTCCGAACAAAATGTTTTCTATAAACGCAAGTGCTTGTACGTTTATAGAAACTTGCAACAAGATTATTATTACAGAAAGATATGAAAATACTGTGAACATATATGATATCAAGACAAACACGAGAGTCGAAGTGAAGGATGATCAGATACAGAGACCATGTGGTGTAGCGACTGGTCCTTCTGACACTATCTTGGTTTGCTGTGAAGGGACACCTGGCATTGTTCAAATATCTCTAACAGGCCAAATCTTATCATCGCACAAGATAGGTATGGAATCGCCCTGGCAAATCTGTGTCTCGCGATCTTACTCGTTTGTTGCTATTACAAATTCTTTAAAAGGTGATCGAAAACTGCAAAAATTCAAAGTTAAGTAATGTCAAATCATAATAACCAAAGTCGCAAAATTTGCAGTTGTAAACAGAAAAAATACAAAAAGTTGGAAATTATATGTGAATACTTGATACCTTTCGCCATTGAGTTTTTCATTGTTGTGTTGTACTAGCTTAAATTAAAGCATTGCATATTACAGAGACAGTGCATTGATGTTTACATCATAGCGTTGTTTTTGTTGTTAGTTTAAGCATATTTTATACCTCAGAATATATTCATAACTGTTTCAATTTATAATTTTAATTTACATTGTACACAAAGCATTTCAAATATTCTAAAAAAGCAGGATAGTGTCTTTTGAAATTCTTCTCCTTCTTGTTTTTCCATTCATTTAAAGAAATGTTATGATATCCATGGTTTTAAAAACATCAAAATTTTCTCTGTTTGCATTTCATACTTTACGTCTGCCCCTCACTGCTGTGGGTTCGAATCTCGACAAGGACTTTAGATTCTTTCATGTGAGGAATCTATCCAGCTACCTTACGGAACGTCGGTGGTTTTACTCAGGTGCCCGTTCGTACCTGAAATAATGCACGGAAGGACACCTGAGGTCTTCCTCTACCAGTAAAGCGGGAACGTTGCCATATCACCTATCCTGTGTCGGTGTGAGGTAAAACCCAATGAAACAAACAATCAAACAAACGTATAACTAGTTTTTACATTTAAGTGATGTCTAAGCAGTTGATTCCCTATAACTATTTCACAGTTATGTTATCTGAATTTTCGGATATATTTTTGCTATTTTATTGTCAAATTAATTCCCATAATGTTGTTGTTCTTCCTTTTTATGAAAAAAAATGCAGAAAAGATAATACTTTTTGTTTTCTTTTGTTCTTGATGTTGTTGTCTTCTTATAATTTCTTTCGAATATTCCCAATTTATGTCATTCATCCTCAATTAGGCCTTATTATGTCAATGAATGGTTTAATGTAATTTATTTTATCATTGGTCTTTACTATTTTATGATTTTTGTTGTCATTTGATTACTATTGCAAAGAAGAATGCTAAGTTTGGGTGAGTTACAGACTTTTTGAGAATATTCTTTTTTTTATTTGTGTGTGCCATACAGAACGGAACCACAATTTTTGAATGTTCGGATCGACGACATCGGACTTTTAAATGACCATGTGCTGATCACTTCTCACTAGTTTAAAGTGATTTTGTTCTGAGTGTCGTCTATAATGTATGAATGTATATTCATGAAATAATGAATTAAAGTGAACCTGGTGTAGCCACTCCTTCATTGTCGTGCTTATTTATCTATTATCCATGAAGGATATTGATTAGGAGTTACTTTATTTATGACTGATTAAATAGAATGAAAGAAAACATAAGTATGTTTATTTTCATGACATTTATGACTTGAGGGAGACAACGAAACTAAGCCACGAAACTACAATATGCATATTTGCCTCTCTTAGAAAGATTATTTAAAAGCAAAGCTGCTTCAAATTCTTCAATACATTTTTGAAGTTTAATTTATAAACTAATATCTACATATCATATTATCTATATAACACTTTAAACAATACTTTAATCGCTGTGTATATAAATATATAATTATAGATCCTGGCCGATTTTTGTTTTGTTTTGAAAGTTAGTTTTTGGGAAGTTCTGTATATAATTTTATTATGTTTGAATGTATATGTTTTTGTTTTCTTTTTATTATTATCATTATTATTAATTTCATTATTATTATAATTATTATTATAATTGAAAATACATAGTTTGTCGAATAGTTTCCACAAGGAAAGTGAGGCATAAATAGCACTAAAATTCCAACTGAACAACCTTGATTTTTGTACATTTTGAAAAATGGCCCTTTATTCGCTAGTACCAGGGTTGATACGCGGTCATTAAAATGGTCAATTTTTATCTGCATATTCAAAAGTAGCATGTAAGGTGTTAGATTTATGTATTCATTGTGAATATGTTTATATATTTGCAAACCCTTTGTGTAATTTTTGAAACTTCGTCGGGGGTACTGCTGTTGTAAAACAACACTTTTTTCTATATCATTTTCGAATATGTAACATTAAATTAATAACCCTTTTTAAAATTCGCAGCCTTTGTTCTTGTTTGTTTTTGTTGTTTTTCTATGTTTACTGACTGATTGATTCGCCATATCATTGTTATCTTGTACAATATATTGATGTTATGTTTTTTAAATATAACAAACAATGAGGATATGAAATGTGTGTACTTTAGGGAGACAAATCTCCAAAACTGCTGTGATAAGGTTTGTGGAATTGCCCCCCCCCCCCCCCCCCCCCTCAGAAATAAACAGTCTTACAATTCATGTATTTTATGTTTTAAATATATATACGAGTATATGTATAATGTATAGATGATACTTTAATAATTAATAAATACTATATTGTACGAACAATGTTTTATGAACTGCGTGGATTCATTATAGTATGCATGTTATCAAATATGATTGAAGTAAAGTTATTTTCGAGATTTCTTTTGGTTGGGTTTTACTTTGTACTCAACAACACAGTATGGGTCATATGGCGACTTTCCAATTTAACTGGTGGGGAGAGACCTCAGGTGCCTCTCTGTGCATTATTTCAGACACAAACATCAGAGTAGAACCACCAACGTTCAGTAATCGAAAATGAACACAAGTGCATATAGCATTTTATGACTACTGCTGTAAGAAACGTTTGGTTAAATGGTCAGTGAATGGCATTACTTTATACATGTAAATATTTTAAGATTGTATAGATTGATACTTGCATTAATTTGACCGTAGTCTGCCAAGGAGTTCACTTTGCGTAACAATTAGCAAACTATTTAGGTGGAGCCTAATACGACGTACATATTTGACAAAGCATCACTACTTGAAAACTAATATATACATTCTTAAAGATCATAAAGGCATAAAGATCTGAAAAAGTGATCCATCGGAAGCGTTAAAAACATTAAAATTACATGAAAAGTGCAGACTCGGTTTGATTGAGTCTGTACATGAGGGATAGTGAATGAGTCCAACATCCCTCACGTCGAATCGTGAATTCATGAAGTTGAAATCGTGAATTCATGAAGTTGAAATCGTGAATTCGTGAAGTTGAAATCGTGAATTCATGAAGCTGAAATCGTGAATTCGTGAATTCCGTATGTTGAAAACGTGAATTCACGAAGTTAAAAATGTGAATTCTTGAAGATGATGTCAGGAATTAATTAAGTTGAAATGACCCTACCGGTCTTTCGTATCAAACAGTAGTGTTGTACCTGCTTATCTTGGTATGCACTGGTCGCGTGAGTAGATTCTGAAGCATACTGAAAATTTAAACTATAGATCAAGTTAATTAATTTCGTGTAACAAATGTTACAGTTAAATTAAACAAAATTTTACAGACATTGAAATGGTCATTCCACTGAAAAGAAATAATCTACCCATTTACAACTTACTTGTGTGTATAATTCCAAAATAGTTTAGCTGTAAATGTTCAAAATCGCATAATAACATCAAATATATAGAAGAGAATCCTTGCCAAAGGGTAAAACTATAACAACTTTGAAACGAACCATTCAGTATCTACATAGTTAATTAAAAATATATATATATATCATCTGATGATTTAATATAAAAGCATGTGTGTATATCTATTTCTATATTAAGGTTACACATACAGTTCCATTTTGCATTTTTCTTCATCCCATCATCAATGTCGACATTAAAACTTATAGGGTCTCTTATTAGAGGTTAAAGCTGTGCCATTAAATGGTTTTAAAAAATCAAATTTCCGGAAAATGTAAAAAATAGATTTTAAGAAAAAAAGAAAGATTCATGTAATACTTTACAGTTTATGTACAATTTATGACTGATTTTGCAGAAATTATTACCATATTACTACTGCGTGCCTAACTTAGAAAAAGGGTTGTATATTTTGACATCTTTTCTATATATTTAAAGAAAAATTTACATGGATTGTAAATGTCATTTGCAATGTGAAAATTACTTTCTTTGTTAACTTGACAATATGGTGGAAATTAGCATGGATCTGGAGGTATGCTGCTTAAGACGAAACTGGCAGGTTGAATCCAAGTACCCTAGCTGCAACTGTAGTACATTTCACTTTCAATCCTATAAAAAAACAACGTGTAAATTGTAAAAACCTTGTACATTTTAAATGTTCTTTATAATTTGGCAATCTAGCTGAGGCCAGTATAGATGTAGTTGTTGTTTTTTCGTTATTTGTTTGCTTCTAATCATCTTAAAATATCAATAGTGAACTAAAGAAAAAACGTTTGCTATTCTATTTGTAAAAAGTTTTTTAACTTTTCGTGAAGTCAGCGGCTTTTTTTTTCATGTGTAAAAATGCCGTACTAGTATTTTCATTTTGTTCTTTTCTTATTTATTATGTGCACTAAAATAACATTGAATGTATATACCTTAGTTTTTTTTGCATCGATTTATGGTTTATTTTTAATCAATTGCTTTTCTTCACATTGTTAAATATCTAACTATTGATAATAAAATACATTGAATATTTCTATTTTTATCTTTTTTATAATGTTTCAATTATCATCTTAAAACAAAAAAAATGTCTAAAAAAATTCAAAATTTTAAAGTCGTTTTCCCAGCGTACCTATAATACACTGATAAAATCTGTTTTGGACAAAACAAAATGGTGGTCAGCCAACGTCACCACTATGGAACCCGACAAGTCAGTAAATCAATTAAATATGTCCAGAATGTAAAACATATTCAAGTGTTTATCTTGCTTTTACCTAAATAATTTGTAATGAACTAGTCTTGATATAAAAGCTGCTCAGGGTCGTTTAGGTCATTTTTTAATCAACAATTGAAATAAGATAAAACTGTTCCAATGCCTTCATTTCTTAACATTCCTGAAATGATAGTGATCCCTAATGTCGCTGTACACTTGTTACTGATATTAATTCGTGTTTTTGCCAGGTTTCCGAATAAAAACGTTCTCTCTCATTCATGCTTTGTACAATACTTAGTGCTCCCAGGCGAACTCAACAGAAAAATAATGAGGATACTGTGCATATTAAGTATTAATTTAACAAACATATATGTATGAGGACTAATGAATCCTTACCATGCAAATTGGACAGACTTGACTAAGTCACATTGTTTAGCTAGCTATGTCCATCATTAAATCTAGGAAATATCAAGACGTAAATTGATAGTCGGTCAATATCGTTCAATGTGTCAGGGACTAATGTTAATGTTGTTGCCAAGTGTTTTCAGTGAAGAATTCGAGGTATGGTCAGCCAAAACAATTTGAATATCCACGTCAAAAGTTGAGAAGGAACAAAGAAATCGTTCTATAAATTTTATAGTAAATTTATGTTTCAACAAAGTGTATTCTTCAAGTATATTATTCATATATCACCTAATTATAAATCAGCAATTCCACAAGCTAGTGTACATGACTATTTATAAAAAACCTATCTTAGAAAAGTCAAGTAACATTTTTCCTATTCTTTATGAAAGTCACAGGAAAAATGTTACTTGACTTTACATTTTTCATAGTTTCATAGCAGTTTGAACTTGATACAGGAGGCTTTTCAATGAAAACGGCCATTTTTCGCAATATGCTCATGGGGTAAAAGGTTAATTAAAACAATAAAAAATGTCAAAAAAACAACAGCTTTTCACCATAATTAGGTGTAAGGGCACGAGCTTACATGGAAAATGTAGTTTTTGGATAATTCCAAGGTTTTTCATCTTTTTTTGTTAACCTTTTCCCTCATATAGACGTGTTTTGACGGCTTTTTGTCCCCCCTTTTTTGAGGCTTCAAACAGTAAATAAATGCCCTATTTAGGCCACAAACACTGTTTTTCGTTTGAGAAATGTTGTTAAAAAAGTGACCACTTCTTCGGCGCCGCCCCCATCAAAATGTTACACCAGGGGGGTGCCAGAAGGGGGATGTGCCCCCTTCTGTTGGGGGGGGGGGTTGAAGGGTGGCGGTAGTCCCCCTCATCGCCAAGAAAATTTTGGACATGTGACATCAGGTTGATCTTAGGTTAACTTGTAACCGACGCTGAAAAGCCCTTTACTCTATCTCAATTCATTGAGAAGTTGCAGCACTTTGAAATCAGTTTTGATGGAAAAAACAATGGAAAATAATGATTTTTGGCAATTTTGAGACGTCCCCCGTTGCCATGGTAACAGGAAATTTACGATTGAGCATCCTGTTAGAGAGGCTATGGTCTAGTGAACATTTGTGCCAAGTGCCATCAGTATTGAAGCATTTTCATAGTTTCATAGCAGTTTGAACTTGTTACAGGAGGCTTTTCAATGAAAACCGCCTTTTTTCGCAATATGCTCATAGGGTAAAAGGTTAAATCGACTTACTCCGGGTAATGTATACACTTTATATACAATAAACTTAAGTGAAGGTTATAATTTGTTATGAACGAGAAACTGTGGAGGGGAGCGGTGGATTAGTGGTTAAGGTGTCTGCCTCTCAACCCAGGGACAATGAGTTAGAGTCCTACTCATGTGAGTAGGAAGTTCACTCAAAAGTGATTGTTATAAGCTGCAAGAACTTGTTTCGTAATCGAGCCAAAATAAATATGTTTAAACATAAAAAACGGTTGTGCATACCTAAACTATTTACTTATCTTTAATAGACGATTTTATGGCTTATATTTTAGACAAAGAAAAATCCATTGTAATTGAGCGATTTACTAAACAACTTGGTGACCAGGAGGAAAAAATGCAAGTCATGGAACGCACTATTGAAAACCTCATGAAAAACGCAACAAAACTTTCCAGTACACAGCAAGAAAACAACGAAATATTTCCAAAGCTGCATCATAGTCCGAGTACATTGTCAGGGGAAATTGACCGTCTACTGTTAACAAATAATCGTGCAGAAGAGATGCTTTTACAAGCTCGCATAGGCATATCTAAAACAATCTTCAATCAGGCAAGAGACTTACATTTGTACGTAAATAAAACACAATAAAGAATAAGACAATGGAAGCCAAGACATCTAAATATAGCAAACAAGTGGTCAAGAACGTATCAATGCCTATCAAGGATAAGGATGGTGACCGGCAAAGCGAAAAAAATACCTCAAAAGTAATAAAGAACGTTCAGTAGCAAAAAAAATTGAGACAATTTTACTGAACGCTGGCGGAGGATACCAAAATCAACATGGATCATTCACTGCACAAAAAGCCGGAATATATCTTTTTTCTACCTCAGTTCTTTCCGCTGGTTCGATAATATACGCCGAAATACCAAAGAATGGTGCTTCCCCCGCGAAAGCATATGGTCGCGGGCAATCTAAAACTACATGTATTGATACACATGGATCTGTTTCTGTGGCAACACAAATGGATGTTGGGTGAAACATACATTCCAAGCGGATGGAAATCTATGGGATGAACGATTTACAAGTTTTACGGGAGTATCGTCAAAATATTTAAACAAAATTGTCAGCCTATAGATAATCTTATAACAATACTAAACATTTTAAATTGCATTTATTTTTATTTTTTGAGGCCAATGTCAAATTACAGCTGAACTAAAATTGTTAACAAATAAATATCGTTTTTATATTTTATCCTATTTGCCTTTGGTGATACCTTATCGTAGATGTTAACTTGTATTCTGCTAGGATATACTAGAAAGATCTGATGAATAATATGCAATAAATGGCTTATATGTATACGATATAAAATGTGAGTATCAAGTCGACGTCATGTCAAATGATGTGACGTCATCATTTTTTACTGATAATTAAGGCATTAGAAAATGTCAATTTCTTTCATCCGAGTATCAATGTTGTCAATACGAAAGTTATCCTGGAAGTTCCAAGAATTAGTCCGGACATTACTATGAGTAACAGTTATTGGCAAAAAACTTCAACATCTAATGATTGAGCATCCTTGATCACAGTAAATTAATTTTGTGATAAATGGATCTCCATAGAAGCACACTAACGTATACCCGTAGCACCCAGAAAACACGTTTTTAGTTTATTTGTGTGGTTAAATTCAACTGCGCTGCAAACAAAAAACTCCTAAAACAATGACGTTAAGTGAAACGGGAGAATGAGTAGAGTCACCGGATGATATGTCCATCCTTACCAAAGTGTTGAAAATCGTTCAAAGTGTGTAAACGACATAAAAGATTCAAGAATGAGAGGAAGCTTATAGAAGACGATAAAAAAGTGGATCGGTCTTGAGATAAAGAATATGCTATGCGGCCATCAACGTGAATCATCGGATGAACTTTCAAATTGACTGAGAACGCTGTCATTGACTATGATTATACTTTCTATATTTACATTTTGAACAAATGGATTCAGAGATTGCGTAAATGTGTTGCAAAAAGTGAAAATCTCTAAACCTCTTAGTATGTTCCGGGAGATTTTGGTGACATGTTTGTTCTTTTGTTAAATTTTTTTCCACCGTATTTGTTTAATATATTCATCATTCAAAAGCCATAAGATACTTAGAATAACAATAATTTAGCACAATTACGCGTTCTTCCAGGACAGCCCTCGTATTTTAACACGTGCTTTGTATAAATTATCTAAAAAAGATTCGGATCTTGCCAGAACATGCGGTAAAGAAGAACCCCGAGACGATATTCATGTTTAAAATGGAACACTTGAATGCATTGGAACATTAATGGCTTCCGTCTAAAATAAATAAGGTGATTTTCTTTTTATCAGACGATACTTTATATAAACAAGCGTGTGATGTAGTGCTTTATGTATCATAATTTAAATGAAAACAATTTTTTAGTTATATTGACATGTATTCTTATCACATAGTTCTTACTTTTAATGCTGGAATAATTTTTTAAAATGTCCGTCGGAAGAGCTATTTCTGAAATGGCACCAGAAATAGAATTACTTTCCGCAGCTTACTTAACAAAGTAAACTACATGTTATAATGTACTAAACAGTGTACCACCGTATGACAGATAGTGTGCATCTGAAGGTTACAGAAATTAACGGATTATACTGGTGCCACAGCAATAACAATCTTAATTATGGCCTGATCTGTAAACCCTCTCTAATTATGCTGCCAATTTGCCAAATCCAGAAAAAGTTTTGTACGTTATATTCAGAAGTCAACATTTTCTGTATATTCTTTAAGCAATTTACACAATTATATACAAAACTAAAATGATACAACAATCTAGTTTAATTAACACTAAATCTTAATTACAAACTAACGTGTGATACTTTACACGAGCAATATTTACACTTTATTTTCTTGTTGGATAAAAGGAATATAACGAAGAATTTTAAAATGTGATACTCGTATAAACATAAAGATACTTATTTCTTTGTTTATTTAATTTTTCTTAGTATCTTATTATTTCTTTCTTTTAAACTTGCTTCATGACATATTACAAAATGTGATAGGCGTAATGTTCACGACGTAAGTTCATACTTATCCAAATTTAGTTTGTTTTATCAGACATATAGAATTAAATAAAGCTCGTGCTTTTAAATGCATTGATAAGTTTTCTTTTCCACTTCAATGCAAGCAATGAAATGGTACTAAATAACGCCATTACATGTAACACCTTTCTGCTGACGCTATTGTTACATTTTTCCTATTGTTATGCCGGCTCTGGAACAATGACTTTGATTCAAAGGATGGAAACTCTCGAAAAAATAAGGTAAATTTGTACATTTTTACTTATAGTTCTTAATATTATCTTTTCATTTTAGTAAGTCTGTTGAAAACATATAGATAAATAGATTCCATTCAAAACCATATTTGCTAAATTGAATGTGGATGATGATTTTAATATGATCATGATTAAGTGCTCAGTACATGTTGGGAATTTTTCCGCTTTGTGACAGAATTTTCCCACTAAGCTACTGTAATGTCAATTTAAGACTTCCTTAAATGTGTATGTATCATTATTTATGTGATTTGTGCAAATGAAACACAAACGAAAATAGAGGCATTAGAATTCAAGAAATCTAGTGAACAAATGGTTAAATACATGCCTATATCTATTGAGAGAACAGGTAATAATGGATAGTGGAACATACTACAATTAAAACGGAGTAAGGAACGTTTTGTTGCAAACATAGAGGGTCCAGTAGCATTCCATGCAGTGTCTGATAAGCGCAATATTACACATCTTGGATCAAATGAAAACATTAAATTTGAGTCAACTCTTCTGAAATCCGGAGATTTAATTGAAGTTATTGAACGTTGTAGCTTTTTTCACATTTTGGAGATCGATTACATATACAGGGGAGAGGTTGTGAGATGTTTGATGTGCAAGAACACTTTAAAAATTTATTCAACTTGTTAACAAAAAATCGGTACTGAACATTAACTCATTCAACGTCATCCATATATCAAATTGAGAAGTGAGAAAATGTAATACATGTGTATATTGAGATATTGAGATATATAGCGAAAGATGATCTTTATGCAAGCAACCTTTATGCAGAATAATAATATCTGTCAAATATATATGCTGCTGTTCAGATCGGAATATCCGTCCCGATGGCACCTGCCCATTGGGCGGTAACCAGGCTTGCCAATATTGTATATTGCATATTCTACCATATTCCATTATATTTTAAACTCTTTACCTTAATAAAAAAGAAAATTTTATGGAAATGTGACTATTTTCTTACAACAGCGTATGAAATTACAACTTCATTCATAACGGTAAAATCACGTGATCCTAATCGTGCCATTGTACAGCACGCGACTCAAACACCCCCGCCCCAATGCCAGACGAAATTTCCGGCATGTGTAAAACTAACGGAAACTCCAGACTGATATGCAAGAACAACATATTTGTTTCGGGTAAGGGCAAAAACATTGCTTTACAACCCGACACTCAAGATTTTTTCACCTTTTTGTTAATGGACACATCATGACAAGATGAAATAATAACTTTTATTTAACCGGTATACAAAAAAAAATGCAAAAACTTTGTTTAATTTCCTTCTCTTGGCAGAAACAGTAAGTTCATCTTCAGAAGATTAGTAACCTTAACTACTAGACATTTTCCTTTTAAAAATTAATGTACATGTATATACATATATTGTTATCAAATTAAATTAATGCATACATTTTACAACGGGAGCAAAGTACACTAAAATCGATATTACCAGTCAAATAGTTTAAGGTTAAGAGCATGATCCGCATTCTTTTAAAGGTTTAATCTATTTAAACAAAGCGTTATAAAGGTGTACACGTATTGACTAGTTACAGTGCATACATAATTATCAAAATGGCGGAAAGTGGTAATGAAAATACTGGGCATGATGCAGTCCCTGGGCGCGTCGAGGAAATATTGTGCAAGCCATGTTTAAATAAGGATAAATATAGTGTCGCAGATAAGTTTTGTTCGGCTTGTAATGAATACCAGTGTACAGATTGTTTAAATGTACATAACATGCTTCCCATCTTGAAAAGTCACAAATTGGTCAATGTCAGTGAAGTAAAAACAAAACAAGGCACGTTTGATATGAAAGGATTAGATCAATGCGATCAGCATCACAAACTTCTAGAATTCTTCTGTGAAGATGATGACCAGCTTTGCTGCAGTACTTGTGCTATTGTTGATCACCGTAAATGTCACAGTGTTGTAGAAGTACAGAAAATCGCCGGAAAATTTACCTCTCAAGGTTCAAGCTTAAAGGGAAAATGGCAAGAAGTAAAAGAGAATGCAAAGTATGTTGTTAAAACCATTGTCTCGTCAATAGGGCAAGTTCAACTTGATGCTAAAGAAATACCAGGAACAATAAGGCAAATGCGAGACAGAGTTATTGAAATGTTTGAAGATTTGGAAACTTCTGTTGTAAAGAAAGTTGAGGATTTTAAGACAGAGACTATTGAAAAACTTAATAAGAAGCAATCAAGGAATGAGGGATATATAGCTGACGCAACACAAAATCTTGACACCATTAATAACGTTTATAAAAATGGTACGTCGGTCCAGCAATTTATTGTAGAAAAGAAAATGCAAGAAGATTCCAAAAATCTCTTCACCAAAGTCAATGCAGAATGTCAGAACTTAGAGACCGTGCTTATTTCTTTCGAATTCGATGACAAATTGAATATGTCCCTACTGCCGACTTCTACCTATGTGCCGGGTCATCTTACTTTGAAGTTAGAACCTTTAGAAACTGCGAGTCCAATGAAACTTACACCAGTTATTTCCATAGATTTGAAGCAAAATGAGGATGAACCTAATGAACCATTGTATGCTGGATTAGATTTTCTACCTGATGGTAGACTGGTTGCCGTGGATAGTAATAATAAGAAATGCTTAGTTTACAATGAGAACCTTGAGAAAGTAGGTTCATATCAGTTTTCTTACAAACCTAGAGACCTTGCTGCTGTTTCTAATGAAGATGTGGTTGTGACAAGCGGTGAATTTTATAAAATGGATTTTTTGAAAATAAGCGATAATAATAAGATATCATTGAATAGAACTTGCCAGGTGAAGACAAAGTACCGCTCTATATGTCTGAAAGATGAAGACCAGTTTGTTGCAGGGACTTTTGATGATGTACGGCACGTTCGCATCGTATCATTTTCTGGAGAAGAGGACGATTTCAATGTCAACTTCCCGAACAAAAAATATATTGAACGCGCAAGTACTTGCACATATATAAAAAGTGCACACAAGATTGTTCTCACAGATAGGTATGAAAACGTTGTCTACATATATGATATCAAGACAAACACGAAGGTCGTAGTGAAATATGATCAGATACAGGAACCACGTGATGTAGCAGTTGGTCCCTCTGACACTATCCTTGTTTGCTGTGAAATGACACAAAGCATTGTTCAAATATCTCAAATAGGCAAAATCTTATCAATATACAAGATAGACATGAAATATCCCTGGCAAATCTGCGTCTCAAGGTGCAATTCGTTTTGTGCTGTTACAAACTCTTGTAAACGTAGTAAAAAACTGCAAAAGTTCAAAATATCATAAAATCATCTCATAATAAATGTTTACAAAATTTGTCTTTGTAAATAAAAAAAATGTAAATAGTTGAAAATTATATGTATATACAGTAGAACTACTATGAACTTCGATTACTAGTTGTCCCGAGGTGTCGAAGTAAAATGAAAGTACCGATTTTCCCAACCTATATATTGATCCGTACCGATTATTTCGATGTGTTGAAGTTTTTAGGTGGTCCGTAAGAATAATTCGGTAACATCACCTTTTCTGGCCGGGATGATAATTTTTGACGAACTTGTAAGATAGTTGTTAATTACGCAGCAGTTTGTTATAACAGCTAGTTTATGAGAATATGCTTTAATTGTTATCCTTCGATAAATTTAATGGGGATGTCTTTGAAATTGTAATGTCAAAAAAAAGATAAAAAATGTATATAATAATCAGAAAATTCTGTGGTATGAAATTTGTCATATTTCATGAGTGGCGTTAGTCAGTCTATGAAAATTATCCTGTATTGAGAGAAAAAAATGAATATCCTGTCTGTATTTTACTTGTATGAATTGTATGAAATAATACTTTAATCGTTAAGTACTTAAGTATAGGTCCTGTCAATAGAATCTTGTTCTGTTTTGAAAGTTAGTAATTTGAAAGTTATGTAAAGAGTTTTGTTATGTTTGTATAAATATGTATAGAGCAATTAAATATCTTTTATTAATTTTGGAATTCTTATCGAAGCACAAAAATACCTGTATGCATGAAATGTATGAAATGTCGTTGTTGCTGTTCATGTTAGATTATGGTATCTAGATATCCAATATAAAGCAACACATCTCAGTTTCATGTTTGTCGAATAATAAATATTTCCTCAAACAATTTGAGGTTTCAAAGCACACTAAAATTCCAACTGAACAACCTAGATTTTTGGCAAATTTTGAAAAATGGCCCTTAATCCGTTAGTACCAGGGTTGATATACGCGGTCATTAAAAAGGTCAAATTTTATCTGTGAATATGTATATATTTTTGCAAACCCTTGGTGCAATTTGTGAAACTTCGTCGTGGGTACGACACATTTTTGTATATCATTTTCGAATGTGTAACATTGAATAACCCTTTTTAACTTTCGCAGCCTTGGTTCTTGTTTGTTTTGTTTTTTTGTTTTTCCATGTTTAGTGATCACTCAACTGTCAATGATTGATTTGCCATATCCTTGTTATCTTGTACATATATTGATGTTATGTTTTTAAATATTACCTTTTAAGGAATGACAATAAACATATGAAATGCGTGCAGCTAAGACAGGCAAATCTTCAATGCACAATACAGTAAACTGCTGTAATATGGTTTGTGGAGTTGTCCCACTTAGAATATATATAGATGATACTTTTATAATAAATTAATAGATAAATAAATAAATACTGTACGAATAATGTTTTATAAACTGCGCGGATTCATTATTATATAATCAAATATGATTGATGTTATTTTCGAGATTTCTTTTGGTACCAATACAGTATGGGTCATATGGCGAGTTTCCAGTTTCACTGGTGGAGAAAGACCTAAGGTGCCTCTCTGTGCATTATTTAGACACAAACGGGCACCAGAGTAGGACCACCAACGTTCAGTAATCGAAAATTAACACAAATGCATATAGCATTTTATGACTACTGCTGTAAGAAACTTTTGATTATATGGTCAATGAATGACCCTAGTTTATATAAATATTTTATGATTGTATAGATTGAGATGTGCATTTAGTTGACCGTAGACTGCCAAGGAGTTCACTTTGTGTAATAATTAGCAAAATATTTAGCTGGAGCCTTATGCGACGTACATATTTGAAAAAGCATCACAACTTGAAAACTCATATATATACATTAATGGGCATAAAGTGATCCATCAGAACCATTAAGAAAACAGCAAAATTACATGAAAACTGCAGACTCGGTTTGATTGGGTCTGTACATGAGGGATAATGAATGAGTGCAACATCCCTAACGTCCCCTAGCACCGGCGGTACTAAATTCTCAACACTTAAAGTGCTGGATTCAATGATCTCGAAAGACTAGAAAAACATAACAACACTGAAGTGAAGTACGGGCAACTTTTTAAGGCTGCCGCACAACACTTGACAACTGCTGTTGTGTTGCTTTAACTGCTTAAATTTTCATTACAAAGACAAATAACGTAAATTTAGCGAAGTGAAAGTGCCTTTTTAAGGGTGGTGTCCTAATGGAACTCTGATCTGTTAAAAACTAATCAATGTCATTTGACTAATTAAAATTTATTTAAATGGATATGTTTCACAGTCATTTGACTTCTGTTTAAAGTTCAAAATGGAAAATGTGAGTTTTCATCTTATAGATATTAAAATCATTTCGTCCCTCTGTAGTCAGTTGGATGCATCAACATTATTCACTTTTTTTCCGACAAAAGAACGGCTACAAAGGCGATTCTGAAAGAAAACAAGAAAAAATCAAAGAGTGACAAAAATTTGTTTTAATTCAGCAGTCAAAAATATCAAAATTCACCTTAAATACTAACACTAATGGGAATAGCAAAACGATGTTTTACGGATATAAAAATTGAAAAGATATACTTATATAAGAGAATGTTAATGTTGCTGATCTATCAAGGAATAATAAATCCTTTTATCTTAACAGAATAACTTACAAAGATTGTTTTATATTTTAGGCTAACAACAAAAGAATAACATTGTATGAAAATAGCCGACTTAAATGTCCATTTATAAAACATAATAGTAACTAATACGGTCAAAATGATCACTAAAATGTCCATTTAACTAAAAGTCTAAACATAACTCAAATATTATACATATGTTTAAATATTATTACCAGATGTTGCTGTGGTAGCTACGGTAGGCAATGGGGCTCTATAGACAGACCCCGCATGTCTCTGACGTCGTCGTCGACGGCAAAATATGAAAACGCAGAAGGCTGTAGTCAGGATTGCCAATACAACAACCGCTATGATAACACCAATAATAACATATACTATAGAAATAGCTGCATCACCCAAGGTTTTTCCTTCTGAAAATCACAACAATCCTTGTTGTATTTATTTCACACTCTCCATTTACTCTCTGATTTGTCCAGTTAAAATTTGGAAAATTTTGTTTTTAGTGTTCTAGATACAGAGGTCAGTGGAACAGAAAGTGCCTGGAGTACATGCGTAAAGCTATTGTCATAGCTTACATTGTAAGTGTGTTGGTATCATTTCACACATTATAGTTTTAAATGATAACGTGCCTTTATTAAACTTACGTATGGTATATAAGATTTCGAAATTTTCATAAAAGTATAATATTATAATCTATATAATGTGATCATTAAATCTTAGAAATGCGATGTACGTTTCTTTATAAATTAAATTTTCTTTGCTTTGTTCAGTTATTGGTAGTCCTGCAAAAGAGGAATATTAGAAAGGCAAGATGTATTCAATTGACAATACAAAATATCATACCATCTTCTTTAATTGACAACTGTAGCTTTATTTCACTGGAAGTTGTATTTGTTGCGTTGTTTTTAAACACTACATGTAATGTTTTCGACGTATCCGCACAGAAATCACTTCTTTGCTTGTCTGTACAACTATACCACTGCAACACATTGATACAATATCGCAATGAGAGAGGCACATTCGAAATGGTATTATAAGCAATAATATCAATAGATAGGTGTCGTGAATTTGTATTAACAGGTAATGAGAACGAATAAATTGCAGGGCTGATGTAAAGACATTTTTATGTCTATTTAGGAAATAGATATCAATTCTGAGTGCATTGTTGTAGAATAATGCACGGTTTGAGTTCAAATGCGTAGTAATATAATAACGAAGGCCGATAGGCCTGGAGTGATTAATTACAAAGCATTTGAACGAAAAACGTGCATTATTGTACAATAATGCACGAAGAATTAATATCTATTTCCATTCTAACACGTCAAGAAAAAATATAATTATTATTATAATGTTGGACTTTATGTTTGGTGGTTAAATTTGTTTTTGCCTCAGAGTTTCCAATAGAAACGTTCTTTAAAAGCTGTTCCAGTGGGTTGAAAAAAACTGTCGATAAATCTTCCGTGTGTAGAAACATTTTGAGAATAACGAATTTTGAAAACGTTGATAAAACTTTGTTTGTTTATTTTATTTCACTCAATAATTTTTCAAGCGAAATACAAATTATCAAAAGTGAAATAAATGTAAAACTTAACTCGTTTGCGACATTAAAATAGCCTACTTGATTTGATTGTTTTGCACGTGCTGTTTGGCGCTACATTGTGACGTCACGTAAACAACACTTTAAACGTCTTTACAGCGTTAACGACTAAATTAAAGATATTGGTGTTCGGATTCATTTTCTTAGTTAGACCATTTTCTTTCATTCTAGATAGTTTTCACAACAAAATTCGACAAAAAATTGTTTTGTTTTTAAACAAAATGGCGCCCTCAATGTGAAAATACACAGGGAGATAATAAGAACGGCGAGTGCATTGTTGTAGAATAATGCACGCTTCAGGCCTTCTTTGTTTATATAGAAAAAAGTCCGATAGTGTTAGAATGTATATTTTATTATCTTCGGAAAAGGTGGTAATGTCATTGATAATAATAATCTTGTATCCCAAAAAATCATTTATCTAAAACATCTTACTTTATCCGGTGTATAAGAAGAACTGTACCCGGTTTGGTAATATTCTAACCGTGTACCACAATCAACATCAAACTTTTCAGACTCAGAGCACACTCTCTTTGAAGCACTTGCAGAAATCCTAAACATACATTCTGGTGGCAATGGTACGCCCAGATAATGGAAATATAAATAATCGTCCTCATGTACACTGTACGTTCCTCCGCACGTTGACCGCATAACAATGATTGTTCTTGACTCTGCATGGAAAAACATTGACGAAAATATGAAAATAACAAAACATTTACATTCGACTATCGCGTTATACCAACTCGTCGATATTTTCTTTCAAAAACAGTTCAGCAATAGAAAATACAAGCGTTCTTTTATTCGGCACCATTCCCCCCCAAAACAAAAAAAAAAAAACAAACAGAAATTTGAAAATTTCTTTCTTGCATGTAACAAATCGTGTATACTAGTAGTCGTAACATGTACAAAAAAGAACATCACCTGCTAATTCGGACACACTTTAAATAGTTTATTATATTATTCAATTGTTTCTGTAACGATTACAGGATTTTCATGAAAAACATATCAATGAAGTAAATTGCAATTAAATGTACAATATAGTTTTGAAAGATATCAAGTTACAAATTGATAAATTAACATTAAATGTCATACAATTCAATAAAATCAATCAAATGTATTTAAACACACCAAGACAAATGTTATCAACAAATTTAATCAAATAGATAGACAATGTGCGTTGTGTACTTAAAACAAACCCCATATACATGTATTATAATGATCCAGTGTGCTAATATTGGGTAATATAATTGAATACAAACCCGTACGTTAAGCAGTTAAATGAATAAAAAAAACAAGAATAAAGATCAACAAGGCAAAGGCAACGTTCACAGGACGCGGCCCCCCGACACACCCAAGCAGGGCACCAAGAAGGCACCCAGAATAACCCCTTAACATGCTTAATATCTGAAAGTGTCTTCTCTTCGTCTTTCTGTCTAGATAACACATTCCGATTATTTTTAACGGAAACTTTCGAAATATGTACTGGCTAAATCGCGAACAGTGCGGACCATTATCAGACAGTAAAGTTGTACCGGAAGATCTTGGTATGCACTGGTGGCGTGGGAAGATTCTGAAACATTTTGAAAATTTAAACTTGACACTTCGTGGGCTTTAGATCAAACTTATATATTAGCTTCGTGTGCAAAACAAATGTTACTGTTAAATTTAACAAAATCTTACCAGACATTGAAATGATCAATCCACTGAAAAGAAATACACATAACCTATCCATGTGTATTATTCCAAAATATTTAGCTATAAATGTCTAAAATCACATGATACCATCATATATATATAGAAGAGAATCCTTGCAACGAACCATCGAGTATCTATATAGTTAATGAAAAATATATATCATCTGTTGATTTAATATAAAAGCATGTATGTACATTGTATATCTGTTTTTATATTTAGGTTACACGTACATACAGTCCCATTTTGCATTTTTCTTCATACCATTATATCATCAATGTCGACGTTAAAACTTACAGGGTCAGAGGTTAAAGCTGCATGCCTCCAAATGAGTCAAAATATTTTTTTTAAGAATCAAATTACCGAAAAATGTTTAAAAAAAAAAGATTTTAAGAAAAGTAAAAAGATTTATGTAATACTTTACATTTTATGTACATGAAAATTGGCATGAATCTGGAGGTACATGTATGGTGCTTAAGAAGAAACTAGCGGTTTAAATACAGATACCCTAGCTGCTACTGTAACCATTTCACTTTCAACCCTATACGAAACAAAGCATGTCAACAGTTTACTAGCTTCTTAAACCTGGCTATATATGCATATATGCATCTCGAAGTAACAATTAAGGCATTTGGGGCAGCATGGGACACTATTCCGTTTTGTCCCGTTACGGTCGAGTTGGTATAGGACCGAGAGTACCCTTTACCATATTTCTGCACCAGAAACAGTTGTCTTGAATAAACTCATTTCCACTTACATGACTTTGCACTTAAAACAGTAGCATTACCCAATCGCTTTGATTGTTTTCTAATTATTGTTGACGATATAGGTGACGTAATTGAGACACTTTAAGTGTTGTTTCATTTTGTCCCGTATGTTGTTCTCTCCCCTACTATAACTAGTCCTAGCTGTCACATCTACAGAGCAGGTGTAATTTAAATATCAACAAAACAAACATTTTATTACACTGTTTTGTGTATTTTAATCAAACATGTGATACTTTTATGGGGATGAATGTTCTGTCTATAGTTATGATCAACCACAGGAACTTGAAATTCTATCAAATAACCAATATTAATTATAATATCCAAATATACCCCCTATATAGTATAAAAAAAAACATATAGGGGGTATATTTTGCATATTATCGTTAATAGTGATAGAATTTCAAGTTCCTGTGGATCAACATATATGTTCGAATGTTCGGTGAGTTAGAGTAAAGAGCGGGTTAAGGCAATTATTTAGGTAGCCTGCAGTCTGTACTTAATGATTACTTCTAATATAAGGCAGTCTGCTAGTCATAATATCAGAATTGATTGTTAAGCAGTATGATGTAGATGTACAATGTAGATGTAGAATTAAATCAAGTCATCATGTAAATGATATGGAAAACCCTACATAACATCAGAATGTCACGTGGCTCTCATTTTACAATGTTTTTAAGAGTAATTTTGTAGATATTGCTACTTTTTATAACTTCTGTTAAAAATTGATGCATCTCTTAATATCATGGGATCGCTGTGCAGACAGGAACTAGCCATGATTTCGCATCGGACACCGTATAACGGCCTTTAGCTCTTTTACCCGCGCACAGGCGAACAATTTGATAACATGATAGAGTTTCTGTAAGTAAAATGAGATTGATCATCGCTATTTTACATTTTCAATCATAAAGTTTAGTAAAAATGTGATTAATGTATCTCAATAACATATTGTCAAGTTCATTGTTGGTGAAACTTAAAGACTGTTCTTTGTTTACAAGAACTCGCAATAATTCGGATATAAGTATTTCGGACGTACAACACTTCTCTGTATTATTAATAACAAAGACTTACTTTAACTAGAGAACTCATTTGAACATCATATCAATCTTTCATTAGGCCCCAAGCAAGGAACAATATAAACGTAACATATTCAAACTGTTAAATTACATAAACAGATAAATGTAACATACATAGGTGTTCGGCGCGTAGTCCTATAAATATGACGTCGCTTTGAGATATTTTTGCTTCTGGGCAAAGCAATGTCATATCGAAATTGCTCAAAAACCCGTGTTCCATGTTCCACTAGAAAACGGGCGGAAGGAAAAAACCATAAGACAGCATGTATTTACATTAGTTTTGACCTATTTATGAACAAAACTAAAAAATAAATACCTTTTATCAAAATAATTAAACTGTCACATCCAAAAAATCATGATTTAAATTCTCATGTATTTAAATTCCTTTTACAGCCGATAAACAAATGGCTGCCATACAGTGCACGAAATCTGATTGGCTAATTCAAATGCAAGCGTTTAACTGAGTCAGAACATTCTAACAGAATATTTTGATAACAAAATAATTGCCCATGTGCCGTCAGTGTGTTCGAATATATTTTTTCGTTCAAAAATTGGTATCAATCTGTAAAGCACCTTGCTTAACCAGTATGGCTGATAGACAGAAATAGATTGATATTTATATTTTATTTTAAATTGGTAAGTACATTGTTTGAGAGTTTTTGTGTATGATTGAGCATGAAATTGAAAGAAAAGATGATAAGCTTTTGAATAAAGACAAATAAATAAATAAAGACAATACTATTAAACATTTTTTGAATTTTTTATGATGCTACGCGTTTTTGAGCAATCACTATTAGACGTCAGGCTTGACCGACATAAACTATAACAAGCCTGTAACGTCTAATATATGGGACTATTCAGCGTGTTGATCAGTTGATTGGTGACTACCACCACCCCCCCACTACACCCACTCTACAACCTGCTTACCTCTCAAAACCATGTAAAATGCAGTATTTTTCATTTGAAACATGTTTTAATATTTTGTCTATGCTTTTAATTCTATTACCTTCATTTCCCACAAAAAATGAAAAATTGATACATGTATATATATTTAGTAAAGGTATGCAACTCGCCGCTCATTTTTCAGCACTCATCTTAATATGAACTTCATAACTCCAACATTTTTTCACCAATTTTCAATAACTTGGAACCAAATGGTAGGGAATTGATTACTCTTAAAGGAAATAAAGCTGCCATTACGATCATTTCAAGTTATAAGAAGATATCTAATCTCGAAGTCACAGAAATCAAATGAAAAATACTGCATTTTACATGGTTTTGAGAGGTAAGAGGGTTGTAGAGTGGGTGTGGGGGGGGGGGGGGTGTAGTGACCAATCAACGCACCGAACAATATCTCAAGTATTTTGTTTTAAAATGGTTTACAGATGGAGCAGACTTGATATAATCAGGAATGCTATTCCAAATATAAGAGCCAGAATAAACAAAAGACAAAATTGCTCAGTATTTGGTCTAGGGGTGTAAAGTTGAAAATCAGTTGATGAACGCGCACTTACAGACTTTTGCTGTATGTATATGCAGTATTTCGATAGAGCGGAAGTCAGTGTACCAGCATGCGCTTTACCATATCTCCGTTACCTTTAATGTTTTCAACGTGGTTGCTACGAAGCTGTGTCAAAAGGACTACTGTTACACTAAGTGTACATGGCTTTAACAACTAATAAATCAGTCAAACAAATTAAAACAATACACATAATCTACACATGGTTGTTTTCCATTTTAATATTTTGCATTTTCAACTGATAGTCAAGGAAAAATCTCAGTATTCTAACCAATTTAATGTATTGTTTACATGTGATGACAGCTAGTTAGCAGGCGAATGCTGTGTCCGTTCCAGAAAGTTCCCTTGTTTTTAAATACCATCAAAACACATGTTTACCATAGTAACCATATATAGATAGAAAGCAAATTATATAGGATAAGGTTTATGAAAAAATTGTCCGTTTCTTGATAAAAAATTGAACTAATAAATACAAAGTCTTTGAAAAAGTCCCTTCTTCGAGTTCAATTAAAAGGGGAATAATTTGGCTAAATTTTTGACTGGGAAATAGGAGTTATCATTCCTGGCCAGGAATATGTCCAACTGATATCATGCAAGAGAGTTTGTAAGAGGAACACAACTTGCTAGTATGAATATCTTGGGATAAAATGAAATTATTTAATAAAGAGGAAGGCGTCTGGTTATTTATTATCTTAAACATCATGTAATAGCATTTTACAAGCATCAGTGTACAAAACTGAAATCACCCATCAAAAACCACAGTGTCTCTTTAACAAGTCTAATTAGTTGTTCTATTACAAAAGGTACAATATGTTTTCCTATTCATTCAGGTTTGCTCCATCCATTGAGCTAAGATAATATGCATACAATTAAACAGACAGGTGATTGGCTTAAAAACAATCACATACATGTGAATGATGATTGGTTGAAGGCTTGTGTGGAATGGATACAAGAAGAGAACCAGGTAAATAACTTGGAGTTCTTATTTAACAATTATTTATAAATAAAAATATTTATGTTCAGTTATTTTTCACTATTTTATTATCGGTTAAAGGTATTTTCAAAGCTTAAAGAAAATATTTGTTTGTTATTTTTTCAATCAATTTAGCACAAACTTTCCAAATGAGTACATTAAACTAGAACTATAAATGATTACATTTATTTGACCAGAATCTATATCGAGGATTTAGCTGTTTTTATGTAGAAAACAGATATCAAAATTCCATACATTTATATGTATTAGTAATTGAAAGTTACAACCTCAAAGGACAAGACCATGATATAATTTTAGCATGGTGGGGGTTTATCTAAATGAAATGAGTTATCACTTATAGGGACAAGGGTTGACAAATGATGATATAAATTCTCAAGTGTACGAACAATGGTTGTTGGCAGATCTTCACGAGTTAGAGACATGCTGTCTTCCAGGGGAGATCACTACATCACAGAAATTTGAATTGATTGGAACTTACGCTTTACAGGTACTATGCATTAAATGTCAGTTACACTTAAAAAGTGGGAGCATACTGTGATGCGGTTGGCTCATAGTATGTCTGACCATCGATGCATATGTACATGTACCTTCAGTAATCCTTGTTTGATTTTTAAGTTGAGAAGGAATAAGACATAGCCAGTAGATGACCCTGATTCATTTTAAGGTCAAAGGTCAAGGTTACAGTGACAATTTTTTTAATAATCCTTGTCTTATCAACTATTTGGGAATGAATAAGCCATTTTTATGTCGCATGTTTGGACATTGCCCATGGCCAGTAATTGATCACTATTGAATTTGTGGTCATAAGGTCAATGGTCTATGTGTCAATGTGTGCTGTGTGTAAAATCTTTGTCTGATTCTATGGGATTAGTAGTAAGTCATTTGTGTAGGAATTTGTAATCATTGTTTAGTTATCAGGAAAGCTGTTTTGTTGCCAATTGCCAAGGAACAGCAAAAAATACGTTGAATTTGAGGTAAAAACCAAACAAACAAACATGTATGACATAAG